TTATCTTTTAGTTTTAATTGGTTGAAGTTGAACAAATTACTAGATATACAATTTATAAAGAATTTCTATTATATATATGATAATTTAAATATTTTCAGCAAAAAGAAAAAAAAATATATATATATATATATATATAGTGATTTCCCACAATATAAAGTTACGATAGGTCATTAAAAGGGGAAAGAATAAAACAATAGGTCTTGGTACTTTGACGTATTCCTCTCATTATTCCTCTCTCCTATAGACCCACATGGTCGGTATGAAATTCTTTATAACCAAATCAATGGCTAATTATATATGTTTCAAGACACTTAAACGGACCAAGTAAGAAGAAGACTAGGTACTTGTGGTGCGAAAAGCAGCTCTTTTACTGCGGGCAAATCCCCAAGTCTTTCCCCATATGACGGGGTTTTTTAAATTGCTAAAAGGAAGACTTTGAGCATTCAAAAAGTGATAGCATTAAAAACTCCGATTAACCTAATAACCAATTCGTCAATGCGTATTTAAGTACAGAAGCCAAGAAAATTCAACAAATTGATCTCCCACGGCAAATAGGATGTAAACACTTCCAACCTCTCTCTCCTTCCTTCTTTTTTTCCTATTGACTTTGGTGGCATGCAACATTGTCGTATGACACTGACGGGACTATTGCTTGTAATTATAAAAATAATTTCTCTTTAAATTTATTGACATAACTTTATGAGAGAAAATATTTTAAAATTCAAATTTTTTGTGAGATAAAAAAACAATATAAGGCCCCGTTTATTTCGCCGATTCGAGTTTAGAATTCGAGTTTTGTTACAGTAAAAAGCTCTCAGAAACAGTCACATCTAACTTTTTTACTACAGTAAAAAGCTCTCACACAAAATCAAATCTCAACTTGAATTACAAACTCGAATCAGCGAAGTGAACGGGCCCTAATAGAATCATGATTTAGGTTTGATCATAGCTTCCAAACAACCTCAAGTCTTAACTCTTATATTAGTAAATATAATAATAATAATAATAATACCTAAGTCTAGCAATCACTTGAGCATTTTTAATGGGGTTTTATTAAGAAAAATGTTGTATAATCACATGGGAATATATCTCCACTTTCTCATACACAATAAATCTCGTGGGACTCATGTGAGACCTTCTTGTAGGGCTCACTTTTTATGAGAGAGCGAGAATTTAACCCTATGAAAGACAAATAGTATTACTCTGTTATTAATATGGGCTTGTATGTATGTTAATTGTATCCGTTGGATTGGAATGAGGTCCACGTGGTCCTACATGCAGTTCACTGTGCAATTTCGATGAAAGTAATTGTTGTTTTTCCTTGAATTCTACGATAGGTATGAAAATAACATTGGATTCTTTCATACCCTACACTAGAGGTGTCAAATGGGCCGGGCCGTCCATGGATGGCCCGGCCCAGCCCGTAATAGTGCATGATTTGGTACGGCCCGGTTCGTTACTGTTACGGGCCGGGCCGGCACGGCACGTGTAATGGACTAGGGCTGGGCCTCAACTTCTCTGCCCGCGGCCCAAGCACGGCCTAAGCATGTGGAGGCCCACGGCACGGCCCTTATTCGGCCTGGCCCAAGCCCTTTTTCGGCCCGGCCCAAGCCCGCGAAAACGGCCCACGAAAAGCCAATTTCATTTGGTCCAGTGGACCCTTCGTGGGCCCAACGGAAAAAAACCAAATTTTCACCCAAAAATCCCCTATAAATACCCCTTAATTCCACCATAAATCCCACACAACAATTCACTCTCATCTTCTCATCTCACTCTCATTCTATCTCTCAACTTCTCTCTTTGATTTTGATTCTAAGCTTTTTTCTCGTGTTCATTCATTTTCTAGCTCTTTCATTTACAAAGTTCAATCAAGTTCTATCAATTTCCAGAAAATGGCCTCACCAAATTTCTTTGATTTCACTGCTCTTCCTGAGCTTCGTGAGGAGACATTTTTTGAGGAAGAAATGATGCCTTCCAACCCCACCCCCACTGAACCAGAAAATGCTCCCGTGGATAATGCTTCAGTATACAACGAAGAAGCTGGAGAACACAGCAAAGGAAAAAGACCGCAAACTTCTCCGGCATGGCAGCATTTCACCGAGGAGCCCCGACCAAATCCAAAAACAGGTGAGATGGAAATTCGTGCAGTATGTAAATATTGTAAAAAGCACTTTTCTAATAAAAAGGGTG